CTTTCAAAGCCTGATGGTTTTGAGGAGTACTGATCAGGCATTTTCTAGAGTGTCTCTGTTTTAGGATTTATCTGGTGTTTCTGACCAAGGTTATGGGTTTTGAGGAGGAAAAATGCAGAGATAATATACCATATTCACATCTCAAGGGCATATACTACAACAAGATGTCACTTTTTATATTAACTTTGAACACATAGCTGAGGTACTTAACAAGAACTCTAGATAAGACTGGATATGGTAGTAGAATTATATAAAGGTTATGGGGTGGCATTTTCAAGCTTCTCCTGGCCTTTTCTTCAGCTTTGCAAGAGTGCTACACCAGTTCTAAGCCAATATCCGTACATGGTAATTCCAAAGACAAGAAAGGAGAGAGTAGAAGATGGAGCTTCTTCCTTAATCATCTTATCATTAAGAATGGCCTTTCCAGGCTGGGGATTCAGCTCAGTTGCATTGGCGCCTACCTCCCAAGTGCAAGGCCCTGTGTTCAATCCCTGGTACCACAAGAAAAGAAAAAAAAAAGGCCTTTCCAAGAAATATCACCCACAGATTGCACCTTACCTTATTGTGCTCAGAATCCACTCAAGAGCTTATTCTTGAATTAGTCACTGACAAAAAGTAAGGTTAGCATCATTGGTTTAGCTCGATTATAATTCATCCCTGAGGTGGGCAGAGTTTTAGTACCCTTCAAAAATTGAGGGGATGAGAGACTTAGGTAGGCAACTGATAGTGTCAGCTACTGTTTTTGAAAGCTTCCAAATAACTATATGAACAAATAACTATATGAGCAAATTTATAATTGCAACTCTGATGAGTGCAAGAAAGGAGTTACTGGTGCCGTAGAACTAAAAAGATTTAACGTCTGATTATGCTTCTTCAAATAATTTTAAATTACGCTAATATATAGAGAATTTTTTAAAAGTTAGGTGGCCAGGGGTTTGGTAATAAAGATATGTTAGATTGGGAAGATGGGAGCTTTCCAATAGAGGAAGTGTATTGTGTTTATGTAACTTTAAGAAGGCATGTAAATATTCACTACTGTTATTGCTAGTCTCAGTAATAAGACCTGTGATTTACTTTTAGGGGTAAGAAGAAATTCTTAAACTTATATCAGGACCTTGAAATATTGGAATTTCTGAAAAATTTCCATGCCTAAACAGACAATTGGATAAATTGTTCAACTGAGATTGTCCTAGAAAATCTTTGCCAGGGAGAGGCCACATGTAGTACACATACAGGCAGGTCATTCTGTCACTCCTGCTCCTTCCCTTTGATGATTTTCTGCAGCTAGAATTGTTAGTTTATATCATAGCATATAGAATTGTTAGTTAAGAACAGTAAGAGCATCACCCTACCTTTCCTACATGTTGTTTGAAATGTTTTGGAGCCCTAACTTCATTAACCTATAGTTCATGCTTAAGCAATTCCCATTTTAACATTTTTGATACAATTGAACATTGTGCAAAAAGCAGTGTTCTGTGAGACTTTATGTATTCCCCAGAGAGAAAATAAGGTAAAATAAATCTTTTGATTTTAATTCACATGGACTTCTAAAAGATAATGGGTTATTATTCTCTGTAACTAGAAAACAGTAGTTTTATAAATCTGTCCAAAAGTATACAACTCTAACCAGAGTGCTAAAATTATCCAACTGAGTCTTCTGAAAAATCTTCAATTCTGTTATCAAAAGAGTACATATATTATATATTTTAATTATTTGAAAAGTATTTACAAAAAAGCATTAACAGTACTTGAATTTTATTTGTACCTTCTCTTTCTGCTATGAAATTTATAAAATGTTCATTTTTAGCCTTACACATTTGGAAATTTTAGTTTAAGTCTTGCTATGACTTGGATATAGTTTGAGTTTGTTCTCTAAAGATTTGTGTGCTGGTATTTGGTCCCAATGTGGTAGTGTACAAATGGTGAGGTGGGGACTAGTGCAAAATAGTGTACACGATCACAACTAAAAGACCTGGATAATAGTGTGGAAATCTTATCATGCAGACATTTGTCCACTTAAAACTCAGAAGATTCTTCTTCTAAATGAAAAAGAAGAGAATGAATGGTAGAAAACAGTAATAGTGCTATAATAAAAAGTTCTGATTAAATAGTTTTAAGCTTAGATATGAGTATGTAGTTTAGGGGTAAAATGGATGTCTTTGACGATTCAAATATACATCATTTTTCATTTTATAGATAGAAGAAGTATGCTTAGAATAAATGAAGGAATATTCCCGTTGGTCTTTGTTGCATAATCCACATTATTGTATTTTTTTTTACATTTGCTATTTATTTGCTCCTATCTATATTTTATTTACTTTCATCAGGGAGAATTTATGAGGATTTCTCAAGGAGAGGTGATCATACTGTATAGTAAAATAGAGAAGTGCTTTTTATCTCCCATGTGTATATAAAATCTCATGGAAATCTTATTTAACTTATACGATAGGAACAATTTTCCCTATTCTCAAACTTCACAATTTTAACTTCTATTTCATGTTTTAATTATTAATAGAGTAATTATATTGGTTTGAATGTTCAGGACTGCAGGGCTTTAAAAGTATTTTGAATCACTTTTTAGGCTGAAGAGAGGGAGGCTGTAGAAAGTGACATTAAATGTTCACTACTGGGGATTCTGAAAAAATTTAAATAATATGTGAGGCCACTACTTAGTTTATGAATATGCTTTCTATGCTTTTTATGAGAGTATTTTACATAATGATCATCTACCTCTGGAGAAGATGAGATAATCTGAAGAAATGTTTAAAGACATGATTTATTTTGTGTATAGAATTTTTTATCATTATTATTTGCCTTTGACCTTTTGTTAATGTATAGATTCATTTTTCATGTATTAATTCTTACTATAATTTTCAAATTAAGTCTTTTGTGTCAGATTCTGTGCTTAGCATTGGGAAAATGAAAATATGTGAAACCCAGTCAGTCCTTGACTGAATGTCAGTGCTACACAGTGTCCTCACTGTGTGTATGCTTGTCCTCATCAGTGGAATAACTGAGCAGAGAGCAAGAAGCATGGGAAGGGTGGGGAGCAGGTAGGATGCTGACAGATGGACACTGAAAAGAAGTGGCTGAATGAGAGGTTCGTAAAGCAAGGAGTATAACACGGTTTTTGCATTTAACATTAGGAAGCTATGAATAAACCTTAGCAAGGGCTGATTGTAGTGGCTTAAAAAGTAAATAAGTTAGGAGATCAGGAAAGGAAGATGTGATATAGGACATAGTCTATTATCTGTCATTTAGGTATACTTGATTGTAAAGCCAGAGGAGAAAAGGGTAACAAAGCGAGGTACAGGCATGAAGGAGGGCTTCAAAAATATTCTGGATCACTTATGTTCTAAAGAGAGGAGGAAGCTATAGAAAGCCAGACATTGAAGATATGGTAGGGAGCAAGAATAACTGATACAGCTTGGCTTCAGGAGAGATGAAAAATGCATTTTAGTATACAGAGAAGGAAAAACAGCTCTGGCTTTTCTGTATGCTGAGAGGACAGAGGATGTGTGTAGATGTAGGCATTTTCCTTAATAGATACCCAAACACAAGCACCAGGCACTCTGTAAGTCCTGTGGCTACAAGGTTAATAAGGTGTGGCTGCAGTCTAGAGGGGGAGATATATAAGGAAGGCAGGGGGACGTGTGTTAAGTGTCATTAGAGTTATCAGCGGAGATGGTGGACTCACAGGGGAAGTAAGAGCAAGGCTTTCCAGAATTGAAAAGGATAAAAAGGAAAAATGGGTTGCACCTGAGATAGGAGGCAGGGAAATGTAGAAGGACTGACAGAATTGAGATAAGATTGGGTTTGGGAAAATGTGGACCTAGATTACAATTACAGTGGTGGTGATTGAAAACCATGATTGCAGTTTGTGTGTGTGTGTGTGTGTGTGTGTGTAAAATTTAAAAAATATAGTTGCAGTTATATATATTTATCATTATATGTACATATATTTTTTGTTTAAATGTCAGGTGAAACTTTGAAAGTACTTGAGAAAATGAATTTTTATGATGAAAGAAGCTTCTTGCTTATCCTCCTTCATCCTCTTTGATGACTTTTTTTTGAAGCTAATTTAAGTGAAGAAAGCCACTACTTCCAAAAGTGCTTTAGTACCTTGGCATAATTTCAAAGAAATCTCCTTCCCTGTTAGTTAACTACATCTCCCCAGGAAAAAAAAAAAATTTCTCTCTCAATGTAACATCCTTTAACAGGACTCCTGCTGCTCTGTTCTTGTATCTTGCTGTGGCAGCTGTGAACATATATACTATTGATTGTTAATGTGTGATATAAATCCGACTGGAGCATGCCCACTAATTGGTTTGAGGGCTAGATATAGACAATGATGTCTTATAGTAGCCTGTGTAGATAGGCCTAGTCACAGGGTTAATTCTGCTTGACAGCACATCAGCGGCGTCTTGAGAGTAATTACCCAGCAGAAGCTTTCCCACAGCCGAACTGAGAGCTTCAAAGGCTTCTGAATTTACAACTAGTATTAACCTATATCTGAAACATAATGTTCCCACAAGGGCTCAGTTTTTTTCCTTCTTCTTATTAAATGTATGGGGTTACTAGGTTCATTTGCTGTGCTAAGAACCTAGTGAAAAATTATTTGGTGTTAAATAATTGAAAATCTTTAATAATAAAATAAAACAGCATAATTATAGGTCTGGGTTTCTTATTTTTTTATATTACCAAAATAAATAATTAATAGAGATTGAGTGTATTTAAAAAATTTATCCTCTTTACTCTCAAAAATAAGCTCAAAAAGTTACTTTTTCCATACTGTGCTATCACTTACTGATACATGCATATTTAGGGGACCTAGGATAATGTATGCATTTAAAATGGTTAAAATAAATATATATTTACACTGTAGAAAAACATTTTACTTCATTACCAATATACAGAAATCTCTATTACATTTTTCCATAAAATAACTTGTTCTTTTACAAACAATTTTTACATTTTAAAAATTCTTTTTCACTTTTCAGGTCAGAAACCAAATTTGACTCCGGTTCAGGTATGTTTACATTGATAATGTTATTGTGAGTATGTTTTATTTACATTATTCTCTGAGGAGTAATTTATCAGATCAGGAACCATTTTGATTTTAAACAGACTGGCTAGTTTCTTTTCAAAACATGAGCCTTTCCTGAAAGCAGGGCTATTGAGTGTTCCAAATCATAATTTGAGATGTTCACTTAGGAATTCTTCACAGTTCTGTAATAATCATTAAATATTCTAGGTCAGCACAGTTCAATAATGGGAATTGTAAATACTGATTAAAATACAGTATTATTTTCTTTATGGATGAAGCATATCAGATAATTTGAAGATTCTTTGGAAGTAAAATTGTCATCAAATGCATTTAATCCAGCAAAACCTTAAGTTTCAGCCAATAGAAATAAAAATTTATTTATGACTTAGGTTTTTTGATGTTTTATTGGGTATTGATGTAAAATCACAATTACTTTAAGCCATTGTTTTTAATCTAGTAAGACAGAATTTATATCCTCACAAACAGTGGCATATAAACCTAGTTAGATGTTTTCTTCTCATTAAGCAGGAATATAGCTATGTGATCCTCAAGTTTGACTATGTCTTTATGTCACTGAGACTTGTGCACTTCAGTTTCTGATGGTGTTCATAATTAAAACACAACGTGGGGAGGGGAGGAGGGGGTGAAGGGAGGGCAGGGACAAGGGGAAAAAATGAGAATCAAGACCTATTATGTAAAGGTACAGAATCCCAATGATGAATGTAATTGTATTGTATACCTAGATTGTACCAATAAACTCAATAAAAAGAAAAAAAAAACCTGGGCACAACATATGACTCCTGTTCCATATCAACAAATTATGCTGTTGATAAGCAACAAATTATGCTGTTGAAAAATAAAAAAAATTTTTTAATTACAGGAGAAAATAATTTTCACAAAAATATAGAACTTTTTTGAGTTTAACAATAACATTCTTAATCTGGTATGAGTTCTATAATAATTTAACTTTAAAAAGTTTTTGCTTCTTATAGTTACAGAGAAACCAAATGTTGTAACTTATTTTCCATGGTATTGTTAAGGAGCTAGCACAGCTAGGGAGTTAGCTCAATGGACACCACGCTTGCCTTAAAGCTCCAAGGTCCTGAGTTCGATCCCTAGTATAAAAAAAAAAAAAAAAAAAAAAAAGAGCTAGCTTGCTTTTCTTTATAAGTGTCATCTTTTATGGCATAGATTTATGAATTTTTTCAATTTGGTGAGACACTTCAACTATGAAATATGTATATTTAAGTTAACAAAATCACTCAATTTAAGAACTAAGATTCCAGTACTCCATCTATTTTGTATGTTTTGGGACTCCTGAATTACATATGCCAGGGATAGTACAAGATAAACATTTTGATAAATAATATTGACTAAATTGAGATTACTGGTATGACATTGTTCCTGTTTTATTGATTTGTGGCAAGTGTCTCAAAATAGAATGAAAGTCTCTTTCACTCTTCAATAGTTAACATTTCTAAGTATAGTAAGACATAAATGAATAAAATTGATGAACAGTAAATTTGGTATAAAATTGCATGTCTTCTTTATCTCTGCCATTCAGTCACCAAATATTAAGAACTTGCTTCATTATCATTTAAACTAATTCTCTAAACATCAAGCCAGCAACTGGTTTTAGGGTGCAGGATCTGGAATATAGCTTTTAACTTTTATACATCTTTTTTATTTTTTGGTACTGGGGATCAAACTTGGGTCCTCATGCTTGCAAGGCAGGCACCAGAACCACTGAGCTAAATCCCCGGAGGGGAATATAGCTTTTAAAAAGGGAAAACGTCCAGTAGGCTCACTCTAAAGGTAAAATCTGAAAATAGTGCACTAAACTGAAAATTTAGGCAGCTATTGTCAAAGTCAGATAATTTATGTCCAATTTCTAAATTCAGATTAAAATGTGATTCTAAATTCCTGTACCAGAGCTTAGTATTTATCATGGAAATAGTTATAACATTTATATAAATGCATATCTTTCATTCTTGTGACACTTGTTTTCTTCAAGTTCTTTTTTTAAAAAATGTCTGTTATGGGGCTGGGGATTTAGCTCAGTGGTTCAGCTGCCTGCCTCACAAGCACAAGATCCTGAGTTTGATCCCTGGTACCAAAAAAATGTTTTTAAAAAAGTCTGTCATGAGCAACATCTGCATATCTTTTGAAAACTACAAATTACTGTACTCTTAAACCCTTATAGAGAATACTGATTAAATGTTTTATTCTTTTAATTTTAAATTAAAATATGGAGCAAATTCATATGGTTTCAAACTAAGGAACATGTTTTTTCTTATAGCCTCTTTCAGCATAATGTTGAGTTGAGGAATCATGAGGAAGAAAGTGAGAAGTGTATTTTTTGGCATTGTACATTATGAAAATTTTGATTAGAAATAAGGTAGAATATTGGAACAATTAGATGTATAGCTTTAATAGGTTCAGATTCTCTATTGTCCATCAAATACAGAATCTAAACTAGCTCTGTGTGTGTGTTCATGTGTGTAACACATATGTGTATGTATATTGAGAGATAAAGAGAAAGATATATATGTGTATTTATACATATTATTATTTTTTCAGTGAAAGTACCCAATTTATGTGGAGCTTACTGCACGTATATAGTTTGTGTAAATGAGTTTCAGGCTGTAAAATGAAATTCTGGTCAGGCGTGGTGGCACATGCCTGTAATCCCAGCACTTGGGAGGCTGAGGCAGGAGGATTGCTGTCAGTTCAAGACCAGCCTGGGCTACACAGTGAGTTCCAGAGCAGTCTGAACTACATAGTGAAACCCTGTCTCAAAAAGACAAAAAAACAAACAAACAAAAAAAACAAAAAGAAAGAAAAAAAGATTGTGGAAGAAGAAAGGAAATGTTTTCCTTGCTACTATATGTTAAGAAATTTCAGTTGTTGAATGTATACCAAATGATCAAACTAGAGATTAATACAGATATTTTAATGAGAATTTAAAAAAATAGTTTTATGAAAGCAATTCCATAAATAACCTCCTTTTAAATTTAAAATTTTATAATGATAAATTTCAACTGTATTTAAAAATATAAGATAGTACATTGAGTACTCAATATAACCATTATCTAAAATGTCCTATTATTAATACTTTGCCATATTTATTTCACCTGTATTTTTGTTTGAAATATTTTGAAGTAAAATACATACCTTTATGTGACTTTCAAAACCTAAAAATCTTATCTTGACTTATTGAAATGGGTCAGTTTTCATCTATCTTGGAAATTTGAGTCACATACAAATTGTGGAAAAGATTGTGGCATCTCCATGTCCATATTCAGTTAAAGAGATTTTGAAAATTCTACTTACCATGAATTGTGTGGTTAAAAGATCCTTCAATCAAAATTAATTCTGATCAGAGAATCCCAGGAATGTTCTATCCTCACAATGAATTTAGTTGAAATTTGAGCTGTCATTTAGATATGGTCTCTTAGTATGGATTTATATATTGATTAAAAACCTTTTTGTTGTTTTTGATTTATAAGTTGATTGGCTTTGTCAGTTGAGTTGAGTGAGCCTACCTTTTTTCTAAAGGTATTTTAAGCTTTGTATTTTAACACTGCTTCCTAGTTGATGTAGTAGTAATGTTTCTTTCCTGGGATCATGTGGAGTTGGTGATTTTACTAATAGAGTAAAACAGACTTCCTTTTATGTTCAGAAGTAGCAAGAAGCTGTGCTCTTCTCCCCACCTCCCAAGAAGGGAAGTTAGTTGATGCTGGAGGAAGCAGAGCATTGAGTTTAATGTAGTGATTAAACATGAAAGCCATATATCAAATCTCAGGAGAAACATACTTTTGAAAGATGTGGAGCATATTGCATGATAGGCTATATAAACAGAGCCCTGGAGGTCAGTGTGTGGATGCAAACCAATTAAATAAAGAACTTACTGGCTTTGCTTTCTATCATCTCAATGGGGAGGATCACAAGTTAACATGCACAGTGTTGAAGTATAAACTTTGCTCAAGTAAGCTAGGCACCTTTGGAAACTCTATTAACTCTTTAATTCACTACCAGGATTTTTTTAAAATCAAGGTTCCTAGGAAGTTAAAAATAAAAATTGAAAATATATACTTTTTTGGCCCTTTTGCACATACCGTTCAGGAAAGATTCTTCTAATGAGTTGAAAGGAAGGGAAAAAAATAGAGAATGAACAGCTGGAAAAAAAAAAAAAAAGAGTTGACTATACAGTCAGATTTTAAGAATGTTCACATCTTTCAAAAACAGTCCATTTGGAAAAGCAGAATAAATGGCAAAAGATGTTTTTATCTTTTTAGAATTCTGAGTTTAAGGCAAAGTATAGTTAGAATTTACTGATCACTAATACAATATCAGAATACTGTTAGTTCTCCTGTATTCTAAGTGAAAAGAACCTAATATTTATAAGTTAATAACTATATGTTAAGGACTACTGGTTGGCTAATTCTATAGTTTTAACCATCCTAGGTAATGTTTGGGTGAGAAAATTAAATACCAAGTTAAACGGTACAGTTTCGTGGTCCATAAACATCCAAAACAAATGTGTTTTTGTTTTTGTTTTTTTTTCTAAAGAGTCATGTTGGCCAAGAAAATGAATAAGCTTATATTTAGTGCTTGTCGATTCTGGACTGCTTGGAATAGCTATACTAAGGAAATGTGCTTATAGAACACAGCAACTCAAAGGTATAAGATTTCATGAAAGCAAATTGTGGAGGATTAAGAAACCTAATGAGCATGGTTTAGTGTGTAGAGTTGAGGCGGGAGCTCACTATTAAATAAAGCCCAAGAGTGTAGAAGGTTAGGAGATCCTAAAAGACACGAAAATAAAAGGGACAACAGAATATAATTATCCTGAAAGGAGGAAACCCTCCAAGGAACAAAAAGCAGCTAGTGTCGCTTTGGGGTTCTGTGGTTAAAAAGGAATCTACACACCAGGCTAAGGAAATCAAAGAATGCAATCTTTTAACACATAAGGGCAATGA